TTTCAAAAAAAAAAAAAAAAGAAACTCTTGGGTGATATCACTTTCCCTGCAGCCTAGTGTGCCTACTATGTTGAAAACCTTTGTTCTCAAAGCAGTATATTGATGAGATAATAGTAGTTCCCTGTTTTAACAGGGAACCTTTAATGTAACCTCGTAACCCTTTTAAAATGGATGCACACAGTGCCGTTTACTCCTAGGCTCAAAGCTGAGTACTCTCCCATCATTTTAATACTATTTTAGGCAATTCCTATGACAATTATACCAACAAGTTTCCTCAAACAACACAAGCTCATCAACAGCTGCTTCTCTATGGCAGGTGTGCATTTCAGGCTGAGGTCTTCATGGAGAGCGAGGCCCTCCCTTCTTCCCTTGGGGACTTGTGGTGAAATAGAGGAGCACAATTCGGGAGCTACCTGTGAGCTGGTGTTTTGGAACTAGAACAAAACAAGGATGCCCACTGTCACCACTTTAATTCAACATAGTGCTGGAAGTCCTACCCAGAGCAATCAGGCAACAGAAGGAATCGAAAGGTGTCCAAATGGGAAAAAAGGAGGTCAAACTATCGCTCTTTGCGGACGATATGATCTTATATCTAGAAAACCCGAAAGATTCTGCCAAGAGACTCCGGGAATTCATAAATAAATTCAGCAAAGTCTCAGGTTACAAAATCAATGCACACAAATCAGTAGTATCTCTATACACCAACAACAATCAAGCTGAGAATCAAATCAAAGACTCAATACCTTTCACAATAACAACAAAGAAAATGAAATACCCAGGAATATATCTAACCAAGGAGGTGAAAGATCTCTATAAGGAGAACTATGAATCACTGAGGAAGGAAATTGCAGAGGATGGAAACAAATGGAAATACATATCATGCTCATGGATTGGCAGAATCAACATTGTTAAAATGTCCATACTACCCAAAGTGATGTACAGATTCAATGCAATCTCCATCAAAATGCCAAGGTCATTTTTCGGAGATCTAGAAAAAATACTTCTACGCTTCATAGGGAACTGGAAAAGAGCTTCAATAGCCAAAGCAACCTTAAGCAAAAGGAACAAATCAGGAGGCGTCACTTTACCCGACCTCAAGCTATACTACAAGGCTATAGTAACCAAAACAGCATGGTATTGGCACAAAACAGGGACATAGACCAATGTAACAGAACAGAGAACCCACACATAAAACCTCCACCTATAGCTATCTGATCTTTAACAAAGCAGACAATAATATATTGGGGAAAAGAATCCCTATTCCATAAATCGTGCTGGGAAAATTGTACAGCCACATGTAGAAGATTGAAACAGGATCCTTACACCTCTTACCACTCACATAAATCAATTCAAGATGGATAACAGACTTAAACCTAAGACATGAAACTATAAGACTGCTAGGAAAAAATGTTGGAAAAACTCTTCTAGACATTGGCCTAGGCAAAGAATTTAGAAGACAACCTCAACTGCAATCACAGCAAGAACAAAAAATAATAAATGGGCCTTGATTAAATTAAGAAGGTTCTGCACAGCCAAGGAAGCAAACAATAGAGTGAATAGACACTCTACAGAATGCGAGAAAATATTTGCATGCTATGCATCTGATAAAGGGCTAATCACTAGAAATTACAAAGAACTCAAGCAAACCAGCAAGAAAAAAAATCAAACAACCCCATTAAAAAGAGGGCAAAAGACATGAACAGAGCTTTTAAATAGACAATAGACTAATGGCCAATACACCTATGAAAAAATGCTCAGC